TCAGTGGTTTAAACTTTCTGGTCCTGCTTCCCTATGAGTGCCCAGCTCTATCCTGTTGACACACTCAGAACCAGTGTCAAAACTGCTCAAAAACCCTGCCAAACACACTACGACTCATAACACAACTTACTTTGGCAACCCTACAAAGTGTTCTCATTGCATTTCTTACAGCTGTACTTTTTTAACCCAGAAATTAATTAGCCTACAATAAGAACTGCTATATTCTGCGATGGACAGCTTTTATTGTAAGAAGCCAGACCGTAGTGTTCCCAAAGAGAAAGGTTTTTTAAATTACAGTATTTGGCTTCTGTTAGCTTCATGCCCCACCTGCTGGCTGATGACTAAATGGCAGTGTGACACTTTCTAAAAAAGTCTCACATGCCTATTATTCTGTCACCAGTAGGTAGCTCTACGCTGTCATGGCAACTGGTACCATTCTGCGTAGAAGATGGACTGCACAGCTGGGTCCACCACAGCATGAAGATTAACGTGCAGAAATAGAACAGAGATGGTTATAAACCAGACGTTAGCCAGACTTACCTCACTGAAATATTACAAAGCATAACGTGAATAAGAAATGCTACAAAAACAATGAACTCCTCGTGTATCTTTAACCTATAAGAATCCTGCACCTTCATCTGCACCCAGCTCAGTCACCATACTGTGTTATGTTCAGGCATGGTTTCTCAAAAATACATCAAAGAGTCTAGGAGAAAAGACAGAAGTCAAGGCTTATAATGCAAAAATATTTCAGTCTTGTTTATTTGAGAATGCTCTTTGGAAGAACAGTTTTAAAGCTTATTTTAAAGAATAAGTAACCAAACCCCATTTGCTTGCAGTTAGTGCTGGTGTGACTTTAGGACCTGCTTAATAATTTGAAAAAAAAAAAAAAAAACATGAATAAAGGCCATTTTAGAAGCAGATGTGCTTCATCTTGTTCATCCCCTCAAGCTTGGGGAAACGGAATCAGTAGACACCTGCTCAGGTGTCTCAGTGCTGAGACATAAAATGTTTCTGTGGTGGCCCTGAGTTTACGCAGGAGCCTAGAAAATGTTCTTTCCCTGGGCATAGAAGAATTTTCAGAAGCATCAGTTCCAGGATTATCTTTTATTTCAATCTACTGACTCAACAGCTCAAGACTTCTGAATGTCTTGCAGATATTCCTGCATGGAATTAACTGCCTAAAAGGCTGTTTTTAAAAGCTGAACAAATACAATCAAGTTACATGTAGTAGAATAAGTAAAAAATCCCTTTTCAGGCTTCCTTTACCCCAGTAGCCATGTTTGGTACTGTGTCAGTGTAAGAAAGCAGGCTTTGGTGTGAGCTGTCACACAGCACAGCAGCTCCCCATCTTCTAGTAGCCCTTGTGTTCCGAAGTGCTGGGCACCTTAGTGAGTTCCCCAGAAACCACAGCAGAACAAAGTTCATCAGCCCAGAATTCAGAGTCTACTATCAGGTAACACAGCACTAAAATATAATTTCTGAAACTCCACCACTATTGATCCTCTTTATCTTACTTTGAAAAATCTGCCTTTAAAACCTGTTAACACAATTGTGCTTTTAATTAGTTAAACTACCCAAGATCACCTAAGAAAACAAGTAATTTCAGAGTCTATCCATCTCCTAAGTCAGGGGATGTCTAATGCAACTGACAATTCAGGTTTTATGAACACTGTAGCATTCAAACAGAAAGACGAGACAGACTTATTTCACTGTCAAAACAGATGAAGTCTAGCATTTACAAGAAATGTCTTATCAATAAAGATCTGTGTCCTGGTTTGGGCTGAATTAGTTAGTTTTCTTCACTGTGGCTAGTATGGGGATTATGTTTTAGATTTGTGTTGAACACAGTGTTGATAATATAGAGATGGTTTTGTTATTGCTGAGCAGGGCTTACATAGAGCGAGGCCTTTTCTGCTTCTTAGACTGCCATGCTGGCAAAGAGACTGAGGGTGCATGTGAGGTTGGAAGGAAACACAGCTGTGACCCCTACTGACCGGGGGGATATTCCATAGCATGTGACATCATGCTCAATATATCAAGTGGAAAGGGAAGGAGGAAGGGGGGAACATTTGGAGTGATCATGTTTGCCCAAGTAACCAGTACGCTCCCATGGGGAGCAGTGGATTCATTCCTTGTTCTGCTTTGCCTGTGTGCATGGCTTTTGCTTTTCTTTATCTCAAACCATGAGTTTTCTAGCTGACACCCCAATTCTCTCCCTGATCCTGCTGGTGGGACAGCAAGTGGCTAGGTGGTACTTCATTGGTGGCTGGGGTTAAACCACAACCTCCTATTGTTGCAACCCTTTTCCTTAGAAGAGATTCAGTAAATAAGCTGTTTACCTATGTGTAAAGATCTCTATTCTAATGCAAGTAGAATCAGGAATACCAAGCAAGCAACTTCATTTAGCATTCCTAACATTTAGTGATGTACTGGTAATTTTTTATCTACACGAGTAAAACTTTTAACAAAAAGGAGAGACATACTTTTTTTTTTTTCATCCAGTATACTAAGCAAATAATTTCTGCATATTTGCTTAAAATAAAGGTAATTAACAGTCTTAGGGGAAATCTTATTCATGCCTTAAGGTTTTGTCTGTGTGCTGTAAGCACAGACCTTGACAAATGTTTTCAGTGCTATTACTGTTTGACATCCCATAGCTACAGTAAGATCCTGTTATGTAGGCCTAGAAGTGAGAGCCCTCTGATGGCTGTAGGGAAAACATCACTTCTAGCAGACTTGAAACCTACCTGAAAATTGCATGTGAGCTGCTCAGTGCCATGGGGCACTGTTCCACCAGTCCTGGCCTGGAAGTTTTCCCCCAGTAACTAAAGGTGCTGCCTTCACACTGCCACCTGTTGTTCTCTGAGTACCAAGCCACCTGAGCTGAAGACAGGGCCGGGAAGCAAAGTGAGGGGCCCCTAATCCCAGGGGAGATGGTCAGTGACCTGCTACACTACTTACAAGTACTCACCAAAAAGTACCAGTTGATTGGAGGATGACAAATCTGATGCCCCTCTGCAAGAAGAGCTGGAAGGAGGATCCAGGGAACTACAGGCCTATCAGCCTGATCTCAGTGCCAGGGGTTATGGACCAGATCATCATCAGTAGCAGATACAGGACAAGCATAGGATTAGGCCCAGCCACTTTGGGTTTAGGAAGGACTGACTTGGTTAACCTAATCTCCTTCTATTACAATGCGACCCACTTAGTGGATGAGGGAAAGGCTGTGGATCCTGAATTTCAGTAAGGACTTTGACAGCTTCCCCACAGCGTTCTGGAGAAACCAGCTGCTCAAGGATTGGACATGCACGTGTTTTGCTCGGTAAAAATATTCAAGGTGGATGGGGCCAGAAAGTGTTGGTGAATGGAGTTACATTCAGCTGGTCAGCTGGTGGGGCTCCTGAAAGTTCAGTATTGAGGCCAGTCCTGTCTAACATCTTAAGTCAATGATCTGGATGAGATCAGTGCACCCTCAGTGGGTTACAAAAGACATGAAGTTGGGCAGGAGTGCTGACCTGCTGAAGGGCAGGAAGGCCCTGCAGACACATCTGGAAAGACTGGACTGATGGTCCAGTTTTAGGAGGTTCAACAAGGCCAAGTGCTGGATCCTGCAACTGGGTCACAAGAACTGCATGAAACACTACAGTCTTAAGGAAGAGTGGATGGAAAGCTGCACAGCAGAAAAGGACCATCCTGCTGGACACCTCAGCCCCAAACTGCCATTAGGGTTCAGAGAGCCCATGGAGCCTACAGCTGCAGGGACACTGGGGCTGCAAAGGACATGCCAGTGGGGAAGTTGGTCCACAGCTAGAAGTGAGAGCCCCCTTCAGGACTCAACCCCTTGCGGGTTTAACCCTCCCTCTCTCCCTCCATGGAAGTGAAAAATCAATCACAGTAGTGGTATTTCACCAACGGCCATGACTCCAGAGGGCCAATCACCCCACTCTGCCAAACACATGCCTGTCCTCCCACTTATTCCGCATTCCTTGTGTCTCTTTACAGTGCCAAACTAGAGTCAAGCTCAACAGGCTCCTTTCCCCAGCGATTCCAAGCCCATTCCTTTGGCTGTGGTTTTGCTGGATAGTAGGTAGATACAGTGCATGCGTGTCACCTAGTAACGATGAATGCACTTGTATGTGCAAATGCACTTGTGTGTGCATCCCTTTTCCAGGTTAAGGTGGCCCATGCACCCTGGTCAAAATTGGTAAAATCTTGTCCAAAGTTGATGGTGACATGTCACATCTTCTGTGACATGTCATGACACGACCCCAAACTGATGTTCTGGGGCAATGCCTACAATTCACCTAGATGGTACTGACATTGTCACAATGGCCATCGACACAATTCCCACTGTGCAGCAGGTTAGAGCTGGCAGTTTGGTGTTTGTCAAATTCAGCGTGGAGGGGGCTACAGCCAGCCATCACCCACACCAGGGTCTGATATTGACGTGTCTCACCCGGCTCTACATCCCCTGGGTTGCAGCCAGCGTGGAGCCTGATGGCAGCAGCTCACAGAGGTTAACCCTGGCTTGCCTGACCAGCAAGGAGGCATAAAGCCCATCCTGTGGGGGTCCCATCAGTTTCAGCAGCACTACTCTCCAAGCTCCTCACTCCACCCAACTTTTCCATCCCATGGGTCAGGGCTTGGTGGCTCATGATGTGATCACCATTTCACCTGAGATACTACAGTGGGCAATGAATGCCCCTGATAGGAAAGGAGCAGCTGTAATTCCCACACTGGGGCAAAGATCGCCTCAGTTACCTCTAAGGGCATCCACTGGGACCACAGAGAGATGCAAGCTCTGTACCTTAGCCCAATTAGTAACCACCATCCCATCCCAACTGCAACAGACATTCAGTATAAAATCAGCTTATGGCAAGAACTGGATGGCTGCAGTTGTGCTACAGGCCAAAACACTGAGTTGTTGGCCCCTTCCCTTTCAAGGGAATCAATTCTGCCTTGCTCGTGAGAAGCCACCTGGAGTACTGCATCCACCTGGAATACACAGAGGGGCAGGTCCAAAGGAGGGCCATGAGGGCTGGAGCGCCTCTCCCATGAAGACATCCTGAGAGCACTGCGATTGGTCATCCGGGAGAAGACTCCAGGGAGACGTTACTGTGCCCTTCCAACACTAAAGGGAACCTGTATGAGAGATTGAGACATTTAAGTAGGCCCTGTTGCGACAGGACAAGTAATGGTTTTAAACTAAGAAGGCAGATGTATATTGGACAGAAGAAAGAAATATTCTTCCATGAGGTCAGCAAGACACCTGAACAGGCTTCCCAGAGGTGGAAACCATCCTGGACACATTTATGGTCAGGCTGGACACAGCTCTGAACAACTTGTTGTAGTTGAATATATCCCTACTCATTACAGAGGGGTTCACCAGATGGCCTTTAGAGGTCCCTTCCAGTCCAAGCCATTCTATGAAATGAACTATGTGTGAAGCTGCAGTTCTAAGCACAAATCCTTCCCCAGGGAAAGAAGACCTCTATTGCTATTGGTGGGTTTAGTTGTTTTAATTGTTCTAGGAAGACCTTAAAAGAAGCTTAAGCATTCCCTAAACACTCATTCATAGTGTAATAAAGGAACAAGCACAAAATAATGGGGAGAAAAACACTTGGTTAGGTTTGCTTCAGCCAAAAAAGCAAGCAGACTCCTTAATAAAATCAGAGCAGTTGGGGTTGGAAAGGACCTTTAAAGGTCATCTAGTCCAAAAACCAACTAATTCAAACAATGCAATGAAATTTGAACACCTGACCTAAAGAACTATCTACAGGAAGAGATTAAATTAGAAGCTTAGAGGGCATTACACACACCCCCACCAGAGCAGGTTTACTGCAGACACATTAGGCACTGTTCTACAAGCAATACCTCTAATACCCCCCTACACAAGAAATGTATCAACTACAGCATGCATCTTTGACTACATATTCAGAAGCTTTGAGATTCCACACACTTATTATTTTAAGACTAGCATCATGAATAGCCTTATTTTCAGCTCTCACACTGTGTTATACAGCAGTATGTTTTTAAAAATAAATCCTGCCCTCATTAATGTACTTGCTACCGTCTCCCAACCTTCAAGTAAATGAGCAGAAAACTCCCTTTCATGTTTGTCTTGAGCACCAAGTACATACAAGTCCCCATAACTGGAAAGAAATCTCCCTTTGAATTTACTCACAGCAGTTAAAGCCAGAAGAATCACTAGGGCAATACAAAGGCCCAGTTTCTATAAACTCAGCTGGGGCCTTCTTTTTTAAAAGTTACAGGTAAACTATGTGTGCTTGTGTCCCCCAGTTAAGCCTGAATTTTAGGAGTCGGAATAAAAAAGTACAAAGTAAATATCCATCTGATTATAAAGCTACTTTAGGATTTTCTTGAGATGCCATATTTCATCTGAAGAAGCCTCATTGTCTTGATAGGCTGGATCACTTTTTAAAAACAAATTTATCTTGTTAGCAAAATTGAAAGTGGCAGACACTAAAGCTCTTAAAATAGTCTTTATCCTAAAAACACTCATCTGCCAAGTCACCCCTGCAAGGAATACAGGCTGTATACCTGTTAGAGGACTTTTAGGGAAAAGTTTCTTTGTAGCAATCAAAGATCAGATCACCTTCATGTTAAGACACAATTCATCTTGGTTTAGCACACAAATACCTAAAAGGAAAAAAATATTTCCACTTTGACAGGGAATTAGTGCCTGTGCCAGACAATCATTCTAATGGAGATCCAAGAATGCCATCTGTCTGGCTGTCTCATTCCAAGAATAATTCTGTCAGGGGGCAAAGCTTGTAAAGAAAGTATGAAAAGGCCACCAAGCAGAAAACTGGGGCCCTTCAGGCAAGAACCGTAACACAAACCAAGTGTCATAGCTCTAGAACAGACAAATTCAATGCTTGCATTTACTTGGTATCTTGTCTAAACAACCGCTTCTTTTGACAGAGTTATCTTAATATTTAAAGGAGACTCAATGCTTTTGAGTCTCACACAGAATGTACATACTGTGGGCAAGCCAAGGCAGATCCACCAAGCCTCACTACTGCCTGCTGCCTCACAATTAACACAGTCCACTTGATCTGAAAATACAACAGGTACAAATTTTCAAGAAGCTTCAACCATGCACCCATTTCAGAAATGCCTTCAGTCACAGACACATTAAATAGATGTTTCAACTTCCAGAATGTAACACAAAAAAGATTTACCTTCTGTTTTTGTGCTATGTTTACAGGGTACTTCAAAACAACATAAATGCATGTTCTCCATTACAGCTTGTTACTTTTACTGGTACATGCCACAAAAGGTACAATTCCCAGATGGGAATTTTAAAAAAAAAAAAATCCATTCCCTATGGGTGTGCCTAAAAAAACCAGCATGACATGATGCAACGGAAGAGAAAATAAATGGCACTTGTAAGCTATGCATTTCCCTGTGATAAGCCTTCTCAGTATTCCTGTAAGAATAGTTCATACCTAGCACCAGCATTTCAAACACACTGAACCATCAACTCACTAACCAGATGGTTCTGAGGGTAAAACTTGGTCGAATAAACAAAAAAGGTGCACTCTATGTAGGTATCTTCAGGTTTATGTCTTCTCTTAATGTTGAGACTCTTCAAGGAGAACTGCACAGCCACTTCTGTGTTTTCTTATAGCTACAGCATAAAGCCTCAAACACAACCCAGAGCAACCAAACCAACTAGAACATCAAGTCTAAATGACATCTGCATTTGCAAAGAAACAATTTTCTTTACCAGTAAACTGACATTCTCCCCCACCCCCCTTTGATTTAATTTTATCCAGAACATTCCTTAGAAGCACTCCTTAGACATTCATAGTAACTGGAATTCTTCTACAGCGTAATAAGTCTTTAATAGCTTTAACAAATTATTACTTAGATTTGTCACAAAAAAATTCGGTAGCCAAGGCAAAATAAACATTTATTTCATTATTTCAAAATATACAACTAAAATATACATGATTATTAAAATACTCTTGCAGATAATCTTTGATTAACAGTTTGCATCACATAACAAAAGCACATTTTAAATGCAGTATTTTCCCAGAATTTTAACATACAGATATTTTTAGGGTTTTTTTTAATTTAAAATAATCGTACTCTGCTGAGTAGCTAATACAGGTAACTACATTCTTGCATTTTAAGTTACATATAAGAACTTCAGGATTCTCTTCATTACTTACCCAAAAACAATAGCGATGCTCAAGACTGTAAGTACATAAAGTGTCATTAATGAACATAATCACATTGATTATGTTGTCTAAAGGCAACTAGCACTTAAAAAGGGCTTCAGCTCAGTTACAACTTGTTGTCTTCTTTTGCCCTGATTTAAGAGCTTGGTTTTAAAATACAATCTCTTGGGCAAACAACTATTTCCATTTTTAAACTGCAAGAATTAACCAGTCAGGGTGAGTCAGACTGTGGTTCAAGCAAACCTGTGTAATATGTAAAGTGTATGTTCCAACTCAGAAGAGAATCCAAATGCAGCAAACAAACTGGGGAAGCATGAAAACAATGTAACTAAAGTTTGTCAACTCTTACAACTTTAAACTTCAAACGACTCAAGTAAGAACTGTATCAAAACAGGTCCAACATGAACACAAACTTCACTTAAAGCTACTTTGAGAAATGTTATGCTGAATGTAATACTGAACTGTAATAACATTAAATTAATTAAATTAAATACTTCGAAGTCTTCATTCATCAAACACTTTTGAATCCTGTCCTTCCTTTTCGGAAGTGATACACTTTGCTCTCCTGGAATTGGATAGAAGACAAGACGGGGAAAAAAAATCATCACATAATAATCAGAATAGGGTAACTAAAGTTTCACGAAAACTATCTCAAGATACTCTGTACTTTATTCACCCCCTACAAAACTGATAAATACAGCCTCTGTATTCCTGTTTCAGAAAATACATGCCTGGGTCCCATATCTATCCTTTTAGAAAAAGGAAGCAAAGTCTTAGAAATTAATAAACTCGGACTGTAATCAGAAATTGCAATTCTACAAAGATTGAACACCTATAACAAAAATATGACACCAGTTATCAACCTGAACTACAATTTATTGGTTATAGCAGAAACAAAGCAGAACTAGTCACCATCTACAGTGGGTACATAACTATTGTAGACTATCAAGGCTCTTAACACAACATCCTCTGTCCAAACTACATAGTAACTCACTGCTTTTAGCCATTTGTCATTGAGAAATGACTAGCCAGACACATGCTCTTAACTGTCCATTAGCTGACTGTTTAGCAATTTATGCCATCTTGATTAAACCCACTGAATCTGATTTCAGCACTTCTTTCTAGCATTAAGCAATTGAGAGCCAAAGGCATAAATCTCAGAACACATACAAGGAAAAAAAAAAATTCAAATGCCATTCCAGATATTAATCCCTTCATCTTTACAGTATCCTGTAGGTGGAAAAAAAAACTAAGTTCAGCTGTGTTTTAAGATTTTGCTTTCGCTACATACCTTTACATTGTCATCTTGTGATTGAGAGTCATTCCTCAGCTGGTTCTCAGGATTAGACAGACAGGACACTACTGTTTGTATGCCCCTGTCCACAGATTTCTGAAATACAATTATAGGTGCATCAATACTGGTTTTCTTAGTCAGGGCACTACTACCTAGCAATGCTGGTGTGTCATAGGGTTCACTTGGCATTCAGGATTCTTCTCAACTGCCTTATGTTCTCTGAAGATTTGTCATCTTTTTACACAGCCCTCCCCAGCTTTTAATATTGGTAACTCATTATCCCCCTTCAGTGTTACATTCTCCCCCCTCAGTGGAATAGGCTGGCTGGCAGCTGAGAAATGAAGTCTTTTAGAAAACTGAATTCAGAGCCAGCTATTGGCTAAACTGGGGTCACCTTCCACAAAAGAGTGAAAAAGGGAGTGATCACTACCAACACAGATGTCTGAAGCTTAAAATAAATCTAAAGCAGCAGGGACCACTATCTAATATGCTTTTTTGTACCTGTAATTTCCCCTGAAATTAATATAGATTAGATAAAGTCTTGTCACTTAAAAACATTAGTATACTTAACCACACATTTTATACAGTCTGCAGCATTGCAGACAAGCACTAACAGTTTCAAGGAAACATGAGACTTCTGAAGGTGTACACACAAATCAGATACACAGGACTGAGCAACTGGCTAAAAGTGGCAACTATAACCTAAATTCCTAAAATACTTGCCAGAGACCCTTGACCCAAGCCATATAATCCCAATGTGCAAATTTCTGGGAATAGGATTTATGGTGAAGAACATTAAAGTTTTGAGAAAGACCTTACCTTTTGTGGGCTGTTAGCAGGGAACTGCATGGGCTCAGGAACAGCACATTCCATCTGTATAAATCCCGGATCCTCAGGGTGATGGTTTACTGATGCATAAACCTGTATAGTTTTATAAGTGTTGCAATATTTCATTAACACAGCATGCACAGTTATGTTGTCACTGACCCTCATCTATTTACCAGTAAAGCTGTGCCAACCATATCCTTACACTTTTGCCAGAAGTTTCCTGAGTGGGGGAAATGGTGTATCCTGATCTATCTATTAAGCAGTTACTAATGATACTTTCAGTTGCTTAACAGAGACAGTTCAAGAAGACTTGTTGTTCATATAACCAAGCTTAAAAAAATCTAATAATGAAACGCCTACGCACTCCTCCTCTTAAGACTCTTCAACCTGCTACCATTTAGTTGTTAAGTGACACACTGTGGTTGTATCACATTCATGGATGTTATTTAACAAAAATTACTTCAAGCCAACAGGGTAATCAGTGTTTCAGCAACTTCTGAAATCTTTCCGAAAAAGAGAGTATCATTCAGAATAACGTTTTGTATTACAGCTTTTAAGCACTTAATTGAAACTGCTCTCAATAACCACAAGATTATACCTACAGAACACAAAAATGCCCCCAAGAAGAAAGTTTAAGTTCCAAGACTGTTAAAGAAATACATAGTATTTTTTCCTCTTTCTCATGGATGTCACTTGTATAAAGTCACAGAACTCAAGTAATTTCTTAAAAAGCCAGCAGCACCCTCTACAGTTTGTAGCATCCTGGGAAATTATTTTTAAAAGCTGTTGAAAGGAGCCAAAAATAAATCAGTGTTTGCAAAGAACATTGAGACTTAAATTTAAAAAAAATATTGTCCATCAGGTGGCCACCTATTTTTCTTTAGACTTTTCCTGAAAAGACTAACTCCATTCATGTTAAAATTCCAGAGTTCTGTGACCAGAACGTATGGCGTAATGCCATAAAACAAACAGGTCTGTTCTATCAGGTAACTTAAAAAGGCACCACTTCAGGAGAAATCTTTAACAATTACTTACTCTTGCCAGCAAGATTTTCATAGATCTGATTACATACAGATCCAGACAACAAATACTTTGATTTCTTTTAAGAATCAAACAGTAAAAACCACATGCTAATTGAGAAAACAGTTTTTGAAGTTTAACTTTGTAGACTCACCAGAGCTGGAGGCATAACATAATTTCTTTGCTCCCCAGGAACCCACTGTGGTTGACCCTTAAACAAAAATTGGACAAGAACTAGCTTTAATTCACTGATTTCCAACACAGATAAGTAACTGCTTTGCAAGAGTCACCATTTTATACCACTTCATGTCTGGATTTTTCACTAAACAAGTCTATCCCCTTATGTCCAACAAGACTGCTTTATGTTATTCAACTGCCTCCTTCCTCTTCTCATTCCAAATTAAAAAAAAAAAAAAGCGTAAAAAATAGGATTTCTAAATATTAGGAAAAAATAAGGGCAATCACAGCAGCCACACTGAAAACAATCTCAAACCTCTAGTTGCTTCCAGTTACTAAACTAGTTTAATTTCAGTAACAGGACTTGCCCACACATTTCACTTCTGAGTTCAAAACCCACTATCAGTTAAGTGCCTTTTCTGACGTGTTTAGAGTGCCAGAGTGCATCCCCCCAACGTACATCCCACATCTGCATAGTCTGCTAAGACTCTTAAGTACCTAACACCACCTACCCACACTACAGCATGTCAAATGCAAAGCTCCTTCCCACAAGAAGTAGTACTACTAAACCATGTACTTTTTCCTAATTTGGAAATTGTTCTATCACTGGATATTTAAGGAAAGAGATTATATTCTATTAAAAAAAAAGCATACACTAAGGTATTCAAGAGTTTCCATGTCGTTAGAACAACATTATCACTAGATTTTAATATCTGCAAAGGAAGAGCTGAAGGAAAACAAAATTCACAGAGAGATCAGACTCCAGTTAACACTTCATTCCAGTTCTGTCAGGTATCAAATAGCCTTTCTGCTGCTACTGAAGCTTTACATACCTGATAGTTGTAAGCCGGTTGATATCCTATGGGAACTTGCTGCTTTAGCAGTACAGTTGGTGATGAATTGTACGGATACGGCTGCAAATAAACCTTTTTTTTTAAAACTGAAAGTTTGAAGCAAGATAAAAGTACTTTCATTTGTAAAGGTATTAGCTAGAAGCACGTTTTTAGAAGTATGTGGTTACACTGTTACTTCAGTTCCTGTTCAGACTAGGTTCACTATTTAAAAGCAACCCTTACAGATTTCCCATGGGGCTTGGCTTCAGCACTTCAGGCACTAATAATCTCTAGAAAGTGGGATTCCAAAGTGTCTTATACATCTAAAAATCCAATATCTGCTTGTAGCTGATCTTTTAAGTCATTTCAGAAGTACAAGTTATGCTATAAACTTTTTGAAGTAGACCTGAAGCAGACTAACTACTATGCAATAATGGATATAGCCTGAATATCAGTTTCTAGGAGCCAAAGGGAAGCTAAATACTCTAATTTAGACATTTTACAGTACTTTTTCCCTGTAACTACTCTGACACAACATTAAGCTGGAACCTTCTCAGTTTCTTCAGAAAATAGCTGTAGGCACATTCCAGTGTTTAAGTGAGTATCTTTCTTCCTACATTATTCCACTTTCCCAATACACCAAAGAGAATCAGCAATTACTACTATCAAGCTCTCTGCCTTATTTCTGTGAGTCACTGCAGTTTGCTCTTCTTTACTTGCTTAAAATATAGAAAGCACAATCATTTGGTAATTAATACTGCCCTGCTGCACTGCTACATCACACAGGCTAATGCAGTAAGAGTCTAATTTGGTCTGTTCACAGTACAGGACTCACTCTACCTACACCTCAGTGGGAGTGCTTATCCCAAGTATCAATACAGTGGTGCCCTGCAGGCAATACTGTACTGGTCACAGCCATTAGCAGAGGATGCAGTAACAGCATCTGCTGTTCCTAAGATGCAACAGCAGTTCAAAATCAAGAATCTGCTTGGCTAGGAGGAGAGAAGAGTACCAGAGACAACTTCTGGCTCCATATTTGCTTACAAAAATACATTTTGAAGCTTGTAGTTTATTCTGAGGCAGGACAGCAATATATTAAAAACCTGGACAGATATGATTTGTTAAGTGCATCAACAAGAAAGCAGACCACTTAAGAACTGTTAAATAATTCCATCTTAGCTCCACCTTTAACAGTTCTCATTCTTAGAAGGCATTTTCCTCTTGTTTTATAAAGAGATCACAACACTGAAGCAATTTTTCAAGACTGCTGACAATCTTTTGAAGTGGTTTGAAGTTGGGTGCTTCTCACGCAGGAATGTGAAATTAAGTAGGTAAATCAATAGAATCTGATCTAATTGCGCTTTCAGAAATATTTAATGGTTCAAAATCAGTGACATGAACAGCCTTACCTGAATATATGGTGTTACTGGGCTCATTATGGGCGGAGGCTGAAAAAACGTCTCTGTATTCTGACCACTCCATACAGTGTGGAACTGTGGCGGAGAATGACCAAGGACTAATGGTCTGGGATGTACGGAAGAAGCTTGTTCTGAAGGAAAGAAAAGACAGTACTAAGGCCTTTTCACATGTATTTCATTAGGAATCTGAAATCAAGCCAAAAAAATTTTGAGAATTTTGACTTTTAAATTTAACTCAACATTAACTGTTTTATACTGTGCTACCAAGCCAAGTTTTATCATCACAGCTATACATCATCTATACAAGTGAGGTCACATAAGTCAGAACCAAGATTTAACTGTAACATACATATTGCATAAGATAAAGAGTATCTGCAAGAATACTGATGTCTAATTAAGAAAAAAAACCTGTTAATACATATTTGTTACATGAACAATTTTATTTAGATATACTTACTCAGGTTTTGTTGCTTCCTAATCGCTGGCCCCAGTTTCAGCTTTTTACCATGGAAGTTGATTTGTGTCTGAAAGACAGTTAATTCTCTGTAAGGAATCAGCAAGGTGAGTGGTTTGTGGGATTTTAGGAAGACTGGACTCTGCTTCCATACCACAGTACCATCAACTCACATACCATTCAAGGCAACAGCCTTGATTCTCCTCTCCTCCTTAACACTGTATGTCTTTAATCTTAAATTTCCTGCAGTGCCCTTCACACTTCCATTTGCATACTCACTGCCTCCACAATTACTTTGTATCACTTTTCTTAATAGCAACATGCACCACACTAGTAGCTGGTAACTACATATTAATGGACTGTTCACACTAGTAGCTGGTAACTACATATTAATGGACTGTTAGCCCTGTGGATTTATACACACAAGATTTAATTATTCTTGCCTCAGTGTGAATATTGAGTGACCACAGTCTAGGTTCCCTTGAAACTCTATTTACATTGCCACTTCCCTTCATTCCCACTAACTTCCTCACAGGCTTCATTTAACATGTTAGAAACTGTCCCCCTATACTAAAGGAAATGGCTGCTTCAGAGAGAAAAGTATTTCAACACATTTATTTTCACAGTTACTGTACTCTGTTTAGGAAGGAAGAGGGAAAACACAAAGCTCTGTCCATGGTTTGAGACATGCTGAAGTCTATCAGAGCCAAATAGCTGATTTGGCTCAGTAAGCACTGAGATTTAAAATTCCTCTGATAATGAACTGTAAGAGCAGAAGGGTTGTATCAGTTCTACCCTCCATCCCCTGTGTTAACTACAGGAAAATCTATAACATGTGAACAGCTGCAGCACAGTCCAGAAGGCTTAAAAATACACTTGCACTCCAAGAAGTATCAAAATGCACAAATACTGCAAGAGAAACATATTGCAACTGCTGATAAGTCAAGTAAAAAACTGTCTTCCGTGATACTGTTATTTCCAATAATAAAAGGTCTATGTATCTGCCATAAGTACAAAGGTTCTATGACAATCGCCCACTACAAAAACCAAGTAGCCAGACACACCAAGGTTAACACTAATTTTGTTTCTTACTTAAATAAATACATGAAGATACTACCACCAGCAGATAGTTTATCAAGTTTACTTTTTTAACTGCCCTAGACTTTCCTAGTTCTAACTTACTCTACAGGTTACATAAGTTGGCTTCCCCTTAACCTGTCTCTAGCCTTTATAAATCAACTTCAAATAATACAGCAGAAGAGCTTACTTCTACTATTTTTTGAACATCCACATTCTCCAGGAAAGACACAAATCCATACCTAAAAAGGAAAAACAGGCTATTCAGTGATCTGAGTTTGACTTGACTGTTAGAACGAGACTAGTTAACAACATCTATGCCAGGTATATCATACAGCACATCAAGTAGAACATTATGATTCAGCCTGAGAAAGTATTGACTGCTAACTAGCAGCATCTACTACTGGGCCAGGTGAAAGACATTGAATGACAGATTCTAGACTAATATGAAATAAAGACTATTTTTCCACTTCAATTTCTTAAAATGAGTACTGCTGTTGGTATTAATAAGTCAGAATGTTACAAAAATTAAAATCTGAATTATCATCAAATTTTGTATTTACTACAGAGGCCTGGACAAAAGCAGCCATTACAGGAACAGTGATACCAGTGGGGGAAGCAATCCTTGAAGAGGTTCTTCTCTTTATTTCACTGACTCCCTAGTTAACTTGATCTATAAAATTTAGATCATTTCTGAGCACTATATTAAAAATTGTGTCCAATTAATCAAGTCAGTCAATTCATTATCAATATTCAGAACATGTACTAGCTAACTGCATGTCAAGATTCACTGTGAGGACTAGCAATGGATATGAGCAAATAAAATTATTTTCCAGCTCATGTATTACTACATACGCCTAAAAAAAGTGACTTCTTCAGATCTATACATAGGATCTTAGAAAAAACTGGGCTGGAGGGAACCCCCAGAGTGCGCAGTCTCCTCCTTAAAGCAGAGAACCTCAAAACTGGGACAGCTTCCTGAGAACTCAATAGGCTAAGGTTCTGCATTTCCTTATTTAAGGGTTTCACCACAATAATACAAGAGTCCTGCAGAAGAACTGTCTGCATAAGCACGACACAAGTTTCAAGCTTTGCTTCCACTAGTTAAAGGACAGTAACCCTCTGTTCCCTGAACAGATGACTGAAGCCAGAAAAATCAGCCTGTTCTTTTTAAGACTACACAGATTTAGTTAGGGGCAATACAGATTTACTGGTTCACGGTGTTAATTCACCACAACAGGAAACTCCAGCTAGCACTACAGCTTAAGCATGTCAAGTGCGTTGCTAAGTATCTGCTCAGATTACCTATGACAGAATTATGCATAGGCAGCAACTTAAAACAGCTACTCATGTTGTACTCACCCTTTCGAAACACCTGTTCTGTCAGTGATTACTTTCACCTCTTTCACAGTACCATACTGTTCAAAGACAGTCCGAATTTCTGCCTCTTTCATCTGGAAAAAAACAAAACAAAACACAATCAAAGTCTTGAACTTCTTCAAACACATTCAACGGCTTAGAACTGACTTAAAGCAACTGGTACCATCTTTTTAAACCCATCTCCTACTACCTTAAGAACTAAAGGTTTGTTTTGGCACACCTCTTCAAAAATTCTCCCATGATATTTCAATACCTTAAGACTGACAAAATGCACACATTTAAAAAAAAGAACACACCACAGCTACCATGCAAAAAAAACCCTTCCCAAACTGAGTTAAATTTCCATTTTCTTCCCACTGAAGTGCCTTATATATATCTTAAGCACTTAAAAGTATATGAATATGTAAGTACCCTTAAATCAATTCCACCAACGAAGACTGTGTTTGGCATGATTTTTCCTTCTGGTAAAACATAACCTTGACTGACTGTTGATGAATAGGCGTTACTCTCTGAGGCACTTGCACACTGGGTCTCCACATTCACAGACTGAAAAATATGAACAGAAACACTTATTACAGTCAAATTATAACACTTTAGGATACCAGAATGCATGCAGCTTCCTGTAGATATAGCACAGACATCAAGGAAAAAAATGAAGCAAGAAGTGAGAAGACCACTTCTTTAGCTGCATACCCAGCTAAAGGGCATTTCAACAGCAACCTCAAGCAGAGGTAACTGTTGGCTTCTGCTTTTCTTTCTANAAAAAAAAAAAAAAAAAAAAAAAAAAAAAAAAAAAAAAAAAAAAAAAAAAGGTGAAAAAGGACTATCGTTGGGCCCAGGTGGTAGAAATACCTACCTGCTCAAATGGGTTGCAAACATCGCTCAATTTAATGCTCATCTAGGAGCGGAAAACCTTCACTTTTCTTCTGGTCACAGAAGCACAAGCCCCCGATTTCTCAGGCTTCTCGCTGGCTTCAACATGCTCTTTGTTTAAATTTAAAGTAAGCATTACACCTTAAGTAAGCTTTTATTTTTTAATTTTAACATTAAAACCCTATGATCCATGTCCCGCTGCGCAGTTTCGACGACAGCGCCGCCACCTGAGCGAAGAACATGGCTCCCACCGCAGCCTTCCCGCTGGGCACTAAGTGGAGCCCTCAGCTCAGCACTGCACGCTAACAGCTGACACTAAACAGGCTTAGAAAAAAAACAAAACAAAAAAAAAAAGTTGGGTGTGTTTTTTTGTTGTCGGTTTGGGGTTCTCTTTGTACAAAAGAACACTTTACTCGTATATTATTTGGCTTCAGCACCAAGTCCCGTTTTTCAAATTTAAAAAAAAATACAACCCTAAGAACAAACAGCAAGGGGGTCCGTGTGCGCTCAGACGGCAGCGGCTCCCGCTGCCCGCACGGTGCCCGCGGCGCACTGGGCGAGGGCGGATTTTGTTTCTGCCGGGTGAGGGAGGCCGAGACGGGGAACCTCGGGCGATCGGGGCCCGTGGTGCCGCCGCCGACATTTTAAGCCCTCGCACCTCGTCGCCTGTCCAGCGCCGCGCGGCGCGGGGAAGGAGGCTTCGCGCTCTCAGCTCCTCTCTGAGGGCAATGGAAGCTGTTCAGAGGCCCCCGACCACGGTTCCTGCCGACCCTATGCGCGGCGGGGTACGGCACCCGGTGACAGGCCAAGGGACGTCCCGCCCGGCCGTGCGCAGGGCGGCGGCACCCCGGCTGCCAGACGCGGAGTCCATATGGCGGCGCCGCCATAAAATGGCCGCTCGTGGGTGTGAAGTGCGGTCCGTCGCCAAGCCCTCGCCAGACCGTAAGGCCGAGGGCTGCGAGCCACCCCTTCCCCTGCACAAGTCCGTGGCTTTTCACTCGTGGTATTCCCTCCGTAACCTTAACTCCTCACTCCCGTAAGATTTTAAAACCTTCAAGGTGTTTAAAATGCTAGTAGCCCTCAGGGGCTCAGCCCCGTCACAGCGCTAAAAGGCGACACCACCCCAGCTGTAGACAGCCCCATTCCTCACCTCAAAAACCACCAAAAATAATCACAAAGTCATAGAATCAAATGGGTCGGAAAGGGCCTCTTGAGATAATCAAGTCCAACCCTTGATCCATTACTGCCGTGGTTACTAGACAATGGCACTAAGCGGCACATCAAGTCTCATCTTAAAAACCGCCAGGGACGGAGAATTCGCCATTTCCCTGGGCAGCCTATTCCAATGCCTGATTACCCACTCTGTAAGGAATTTATTCCTAATATCTAACCTAAACTCCCCTGGCAAGAGTTACTACACAACTCCCACCTCCGCTGCCCGGGTCCCGACCACGCCACTACATCACCCAGCAAAAATCGCCCCGGCGGCTCCGCGTTCAAGGACCCCCATTACCTCCCAGCACGGCTCCCCTTTCTCTTCCCTCCACCTACCATAATTCACTGAAGCCGAGGAGGCTGCGCCCGCACACCAAAAAATTAGGCTTTTAAAACAAAACCAATATAAATTTTTGGGGGAAAAACTGCGGATAGACGGTTTTCTTTCTTCGAGAGGTAAACAGGCAGCTCCTCGGTGTCGCCGTTCGTCTCCTTAAGTAGCCCCGAGGGCGATGCTCAATATCACCGTCCTTCTCAGGCTGAATGAAATTCCCCCACCCCGGCCTTCTCCTTAAATAGCCCCAAAAGGGCAGGGGCGGGGACAGGCTACACCAGCCCTGGCCGCCCTCGCATGCGTCCCCTCCGCCCCTCGTGGCTCCGCTCGCGTGGTGTCCATGCTTTAGTTCAAAGGTTGGAGACAAAGGGCCAAAGAAACTGTGGCTTTTCTTTGTCGGGAAATCAGGTTAGGCCTGTCGTTTGTGGCCTTGTTGTGCGGGATGTTGCTGCTGAGTGCGTGTGGTGGCAGCAGCTCTTGGCATTTTGATGAGAACTGGCCCTTAACTTGGTTTGTGACAATGCTGTGTAGTTGAAGAAGCTTGAGACAAAGCTTTGGAGCTTTCTCATCGCTGTTTTCATGAGCCACTGTTATATAGCTATTTTAGAGCAATCTGTTTCCATGATGTGATGGCCTGTACTGAAAAGCAACCTGCTGTTTTCATCGCCAGTGGCCCAAGACCTTTCTAGAAGGAAACTCTCTGGAAGCCTTTCTGATTCCACAGTAATAACATAGGGTTTGGAAATGAGTTTTAAATAGTTGTTTGCTACTGGTATCAGATATTTAGAACAGATACTGATTTTCAAAAGTTCCAGGGAGAGGAGAAACTTACGGATGTCTTGACAAAATTAACCCAACCTCTAACTAATCTAGGTTAGTAACATGTTTGATTTATGCAGGGTTTTTTTTAGTGGCAAAAGCATAAGAATGATTCTTGTTTAGGATGAAAAAATGAAAGGCTAAATTGATAAACTGAAATGTATCTAACATGTAAGCTGTTCTTTTCCTATGAAATTTTATTTCTTGTAATGCTTAGATTTTTTTTTAACAGTGTACCAAATGATCACCTTTTCCAGATGTGATATGAATAATCACAAATTAAAAGTAAACTGCTTCACTAGATATACCGGGACCCAGAGTTGGTTTAGGTAATAGCCATAACAAAGCCCTGATCACAAAAGATGTATTTATGTTAACTGTAGGAGACATTTTGTTGAAGCTGCTGGGTTTGCAGTATTATCTAAAGGTAAGTGAGGGCTTTCCTGCAGCTAATGCCTGCTTGCCTAAATAAAATACATACTCTGCGATACTTTATAAGATCTATATTTTTATTTGCAATGGCTGAGATTTTGAAAATGGACTCCAAGAGAGGGGCAAATAATAAATAGTATTTACTTTAAAAAAATTGAATAACCTTAGGAGTGACAAATTAGTACCACTATTTCTTAAGTGCAAGGGGAGTATTTCTTCTTCTAATAAATCATGAAACTAAACCTAGTCTTAACTGTCCAAAATAGAGCAGAAGCCAGACTGGGAGGTGGATTGAATGTGTACTTTACTTTCTTTACTCCTCGTTTATGGTCCTAACTGGAAGAATTCCAAAGGATTTCTTGTTTGCTATTAAGCGGAAAATAGCTGCCTTTTGCAGTGGAAATTATGGCGAATATTGTCTTCTTTTAGCTAAACTAGTATGATTCCAATGTAAGAGCAGAGCAGTGTAGTTGCTATAGAAAAGCAACCCTTAACAAGGCATTATAGATTCTAGTTTTGTGAAGCTGTCCTGAACTTCTGTGGAGTGAGTTTGGTTCAGGTTTGTGTCCTGTTTTTCCTTAACTCGGTATTAGCTTCTAAAATTAGAGAACATCTGTTGCTTAAAACAAAGGAGAGGGTAATTTATCTCCTGCTGCCAATACACAAATCTCAAAAGGGGTGGAGGGAGCAGAGTAGGAAATTATTGTCTTACTTTCATTTACGAATATTGCTGTTGGAAGGGTTATTGCTCAATAGTTTGTTGAATGCACTAAATAGCAGAAGAAGAAACAATTTTTATATTTTGCTACACCATATAGTAAGTACCACTTTAATACACAGGTTTTGTTTTGCCTTTTTTTTCTTTAATTAGTAAATTGGTAAATCAATTAATTTGGTAAATCAGAATAATGCCGGGAGAACCTCTGTTTGCAGATCTGCTAGGCAGCAGTGGATGAGGATTCTACAAAAAATGTGATGAAAAATTGCCAATCTGATAGAAGTATTAGTGGTTACATCTTGAAATTTAATAGTCAGAAGTACAGAACTGCATACTTTATAGGTCAGGTTAGATTTAGTCTTCCTAGAAGTAGAACTAACATTGGATAGCAAGAGTATCATACAGCATTTGAATTTTTACAGCATTTCTCATGACTCTGCAGTTTTGGGATCTTTTCTTGAGAATCATGTTGAGTCTTTCTGTAAAAGTAAAGCAACTAACTATTCTGAGAAGATATGTGAACGTGAAAAGAAGGATATAAAAAATATATTCACGCTATTAGGTTAAGAAAAAGAGAAGAATTTTTAGACAGTTAGACAAGTGTGCCGGAGAAAAAGGTGCTGAGTTACCAAATAGAATTTGAATGTCTGTTTTCTGAGTTTCCTATTTTGTACTGAAGAGAAAATGTCACATGTTTCATGGCAGTCAGCTTTAAAGGCTTATTCTGTATCTGGTTACGTTTTGGACATTTCCTTTGTGGTTGATTGCATCGGGATAGCTATTTAAGAGGATATATCATAATGTTGTGATGAACATCTGCATTTTAAAAAAATTTCCATGCTGTTATAACTTGCATTGAAACCACTACTAGAGTTTCTTTTGGCATTAGTAAGCAAAACAGAATTTGTATTCTTACTGGCATGCTAAAATCCTTTGAAATATAGTGGATCATTTGGTGACTGATTTTTCTTCTATTTTTCTCCCCTGACTCTAAGAAGTAATGGAACACTAATAACTTAAGAAAACCCCCACAATTAATTTCTGCATTGATAAGTTTCCAACAAAATTACTTCCTCCTCCCCCCCCCCCGATTGAGATGAAAACCAGAGTATTATTTTCAACATTAATCCATTTACTTACTTTTCAGTAGTGGAATTCCTTTAAGAGCTCATTTTTCTAGAAACTGCATTATTTTAGAGCATTTTAATTAGTCTGATAATAAATTTAACTCATACAGGCAATAATTAAGTGAAAACTTAAGACCTAAACCACGTATAGTTAAGTTATCCATAATCTTAAGTCAGGACAATGCTGAAATCATTGTATGAGGTTGTTCTGTGGTCAGGTCTATATTTAACACTACCAATTAATTGTGATTACCCTTTAGGCATTTAAATTCTGACAGGTTCTTTAAATTTTAAGCCGAATAACTTTAACCACTGTAGGAAAGCTGATACACACTTTTATTTTGTACAGTGGCTTTGAAAATAATGATTTTTTTTCCTATAAATTTCTCTGGGCACTTCTTGAACTCAGGCCTGCAAAAGAGTTTGGCACTGGGGACCACAAGGCAAATAGGCATTCCATGAAAAAAGTGCTTGCTTAAGCTTTTCAGAGCCATTTCATTCAGGACTTAGCAGAAAATGTTGGTCCTTTTGTAACATTTTTATGCCATGTACCATTTTACAAACTTTTGTCGTAGCTTTATTTCAGCCACTTTAGCTCTCAGATTACAGTTTTAGCTGCTTTGTTTCCTTCCTTTCATCCTCAGCTTTCAGAATGGACGAGAAGAGTCGGCAGGGCAGCGGCTCGTGGGTTCGGCTCGCCTATGTCGCTGCCTCTGGTTACAGCAAGGTCTGAGCTACAGCGGGCCACGGTCAGCACGGAGCTTCCCAGCCATTTCTGGCCCAAGGCACCCTCCTGCATTCCAAACAGAAATCCAAAGTGCTGTTGTCCAAGGGTGATGAGACCACCAAGTCAGCCGGAGCTAGGAAGTGGGTCTCTGTAGGTATTTTCCTTAAAATGAGTTCCCCAAAGGTGTAAAAGGCTTAAAAGCCAAAAGACTGGTTTTGTTTGAAGTGGTAATTAAACAGGACAAGGGATTTTTTTTTCCTGAAAGAAAAAAAAATACAATAAGACAGTAGAGAAATAAAAAGTGTTTATGAACAATCTCCCCTTGCCATCCTATGCTTCCAGGGCTGCTCTGAATTATAAGAAATTGTACACAACACCTCTGGTTTCTAGGAAGAGTTTTTTCATTGCAATGGGAGTTTGAATATCTGTCTCCTTTTTTAATCAGTCTATTGGGTATGCTGCAGATTCTTCTACATTTTCTCTAACCTTACAGACACTGAAAACTTTTCTTCCCTCAGCATGGAACCGAGTGTGGGTTGCTTGCAGTGACCTTCTTTCAGGGAGTTTTCACTTTAGTGCCTTGCGTTGATTCAAACTTCTCTCCTGCTTAGGATGTCTTACCTCTCCTATAAATAATCCTGTAACCCTTCCTGAGTTGCCAAACAGCAGGACTAGGGTACAATTATGAGGTTGCTTTGGTTTATTTATGGATGCCATGAGGCTGACGGCTGACGCCACGACTGAAGTGAGAAGGAGGAGGACAATTAACGGTACTTATCACCTCATGAGATCGGTAGCAGAATTAAATATTTACAATAAACACAACGTTTCTGGTTCGTGTTCTCCTTTCTTGCACAAAGCGTTAAATACTCTAAGAGTAGGATAATAGGGTTTTCGTTGGTTGTTGGAGTTACCCGCATAGCTGATGAGCTGTTTAAAAGCCATTAATCCAGTAACCACAGACCTTTTACTGGAGTCTGCTCCATGGTCTAGGATTATTTGCATATGACTGTCTACAGTTGGCAGGTTTGCTGATAAAGCAAACTCGTTATGTCAACCAAGTCTAATGACTTAAACGCAATTCATGTCTGCATGGCAAGTGGGTGGAAAGGCCCTTTTGCTGAAACGGGCAGTGTTCCACTAAAGGAGAATAATTATCCGAATGTCTTGTTTAGTATAACTACATTTGCAGTGGAACTCACAGGCTAAGATGAATATACTACCA